CCCGACTCTGATGTGAAGATTTAAGGTGCAGGGGAGAAGGTGCGAGTCAGGCGTGTGGATTAGTCCCGTGAGGTGGGTAGAGGGCTTACCCCATGGGTGTGTGGAGAGCAGAGGCGTAGCTAGAGTGTTTGGAGCTGGAGGGGGGGGGTCAAGATTTATTTTTACGCACCCCCTGATCTCTGAAAACTATTATTTTTTATCAGTAAAAGCCCACTTTGGCGCCCCCAATAGTCGCGCCCGTTGGAATCTGTAAACCCTCGCCCCCTCTTAGCTACTCCTCTGGTGGAGAAGGGTTACCCCATGGGTGTGAGGAGAGGTTTAAACCATGGGGGTGTGTGGAGAGGAATTAAGTGGTCCAGTCATGCCATTATAACTGGGGCGAGGCGGGGCGGGGGTGGGGGGGATTCACTGGGGTGGGTGCGGCAACATAAATTACGCACGAATGACGTTGATTAGGCATTGTGAAACATTTTTATTCTAAAATTAAATTTGCATGTACAGGACGTAATTAAATGTAGGCTACTAAAACTAAAAAGTTCCTGGTTGTAATTATTGTAACATAAGCAATGTTTTACCGTATCCGTCTGCTGTCATGTTTCCGGAATATAGAAATACAAATTATATTTGTATATCGCATTTCAGGTATGTAATTTGCCCACTAGAATGACAAGAAAAACGTAAATATATTGCTAAGCACATGGCACATTTTCGTTTTTTTTTTGTTTTTTTTTAAATAAACGTTCAACTGATCACGGTATTCAATCAGTTAACAAAAAATCATCAACCTTTTTTTAAAAAAAATTCGTTCTCGACTTTGCTACCACTAAGGACTACAATACATCGCTTTCAATTTAAGTCACATTAAGTCTTTTAGTACAATCTGATACTGAGACATTAGGTATTCGTACCCCAGCAAATGGTAACAGGGCGGACCCTTGTTACAGTCATGTTTCAATTTTCGTCAAACCAGGTTGTAAACCAGGTTACAAAGTCAATTTCAGTTGAGATCTCTTGTTAATGTCAGTTTGGAGAACAATTTTAGAAATGAAAGATGTAGTGGCTCCCTCCCCCCCCCCCCCCCCCGTGTATGGCATTGTGGCAGTTTGACAAATTTATTAGGATGAATAGATCCTCGTGTAGTCGTGTGACACGGATAGTTTATCACGCCCTATTTTCGATGGTTGTTAAATATAGATTGAATTTTTTTTGTTTTTTTGTTTGTTTGTTTTTAAATTTTGGTTACAACGTGACATTACCACTGAAAGGTTGAGCACGAAGTAAGCCCGTGGTTTCTATCTGTTGTGAATACGTGGGAGATTCAATCACAGAGATTGCCTCATGAGAAAGTTACATAAGTGCGTTTAACACAAGTCGCAAGGTTTACCCATGAGAGATCAACGTCGGCGCAGACACTGAGGCTTACCCGAGAGCGAATAACACCAGAGAAATTCCCACGCGCAAAATTGACCCAAGTGAGATTTATCCAAAAGAAGTTAACACGTGCAAGTGAGATTTTAACACAGAAAGATTTGCAGACGGGGATATTTACCTCATAAAAATTTTCTCTATTGATATTTACACATTCTAGGTTTGGAACTCTCCACCCTTGCATTAGAGTGACCAAATCATCAGCTGGAAAAAACGGGACACGCACCCAAGAAGGGTTGCGTGGGGGGGGGGGATACCCTCCAGCTAAAGAGGGTTTCGGGGGCCCCCGCGGAAACTATTTATTGAAATGTGCATATTTAACTATTTTGATTCCCAGAAATCTTTTTAAATTTACCTTCACTTTTGTAATTTAATTTTAATTCTGAGGAATATCATAAACGAAAACAAGAATTTTGCAGTGAATACTTATTTATTAATACATATTTTACAAAGTAAAACAACACAAAAAATAAATTTCTATAGTCTATATTTGGCAGTTGTCCCAGCCATATTTGGCAGTTGTCCCAGCCATATTTGGCAGTTGTCCCAGCCATATTTGGCAGTTGTCCCAGCCATATTTGGCAGTTGTCCCAGCCATATTTGGCAGTTGTCCCAGCCATATTTGGCAGTTGTCCCAGCCATATTTGGCAGTTGTCCCAGCCATATTTGGCAGTTGTCCCAGCCATATTTGGCAGTTGTCCCAGCCATATTTGGCAGTTGTCCCAGCCATATTTGGCAGTTGTCCCAGCCATATTTGGCAGTTGTCCCAGCCATATTTGGCAGTTGTCCCAGCCATATTTGGCAGTTGTCCCAGCCATATTTGGCAGTTGTCCCAGCCATATTTGGCTGTTGTCCCAGCCATATTTGGCAGTTGTCCCAGCCATATTTGGC